ATGAGGGTTAGGGAGGCTCCCTTGACATTTGGTGCACTGGCATCAGCCTTTGCAATTACGGGCCACCTTTCTAGCAGACGGTAATTGAAAAGTGTGAACCACATGGGCTCTAGTCAATAATAGCGTCAGCATACAAATGACACTCTGAGCTTTCTGTGTTCGCCATCCACTGTTTTTGCTTTTCACCTTTTATCCTTCTCAGCATCATGACTTAATCCACTCTAATGAGGTGAGCTCTATTGCCAAAAATCGGCAGCAACACAGCTCTCTTCTGGCACCACTTGGGGTTTGTAAGGAGTCAAAAAAATAGTGAGTCTGTCAGCTTTCCAAAAAAGGACGACAGTGCACCTTTTGAAATGTCCTCAGCTTTCCTGAGCACTCTTTTGAGTACAGGCTTCTTCCACCCTTGCTAAGGAATGCATCCCACCTTCATAAAACTTGTTCATCAGCAACCCAAGGTGACCAGAGCCTTTGAGTTAATTTAGTACATGCATTTCCTAGCTTGAAGGTCATTATTGGTGGCCACATGTCACTGTTTACAAACAGCAGGTGACTGCCAACAGTGGTGAGTGTGTGAATTTCCTTTGCTCTCTTTTCCTTACCCATCTGTCCACGTTTCTGGAATCATAAGTATCTGCTTGTAGCAAAAGCCTCAGAAGAGAATGCCAAGATATTGTAGATGATAAGATACAGAAAGAAGATAGCCAGTTACTTCTGACTGACTAAAAGGAAACCAGCTAATTTTGCAGAGACTTTTTTCCTCTCTTTTCTTTTCTCACACTCATTTTAACTTAAGGTCATGGAAGGGTACATTGTCTATGTAGTACTTACAAAGAGCACTTACAAAGACCTGGAATTAATGAGTTCTGCCTAGCTATGAGATTTTCATCAGATTTCAAAATGGACCCAGAAGAGAGTTCTACACATGTGTCAGCCATAAGTAAATGTCATAATAAACTGAAATAAAATACATTTCTAAAATATATGTATACTGAATTGTGTAAAAATTGATCCTTAGAAATTTTGTGGTACACTTATCAATAACTTTAACTGCAATGGCAATTTCCATATTTAAAGATGGAGACAGAGGGTGGGGGTAGGGACGAGAAGAAAAAGAAATACAATGGAAAGTGTTTCCATGGGATTAGACCACATGGCTTTAATACACATATACACAACTGAGGAAAGCAGAGAATTTTGCCTCTTACACTTCTTGGACCTCTCCCTCCTTTCTTCATCTCTAATCTGGTTTTTGCCAATTCCTTTTGATCTATCAGGGGCAGGCAAGTCAGGTCCGTAAGTACAGATGGAGTAAATATGGAGATTAGCCTCTCCTCGTACTGCATTAGCTCCTAATACCTGATTAAGCCCAGAATCATGCAATTGTCTTGGTGTTGGCTATCAGAGTGGCAGAGCACAGAAGGGGGCAGGATGAAGGCTGATTTTGTAATGGATACTTATTTTATCCCAGTGCTCTAAGAAGATTAGGCCTGGGGGTGTCACATTAGCCATGATCTCTGGGCCTTTGGTAGGCTCTTGCAGTTTTCAAACACCTCTGCTTCAGCCGTAGAACAAACAGGCAGCTTGGACGCTGTGGCCCCATGTTGTGGCATGAATAATTGCACACTGCAAATTGTTTGAAGATCACAAAGTGCTGTGTAAATTACCCAGTTTTGGCTTAGTAGAAGTGATTTGTGGTGATTTACTGAATCTTTTCACAGTTCGGCATTAAACTTTCCACATTTCTCTCTATCTGAGATGGAATGAAAGTTGAGTCATATTTTCCTTTATTCTTATCAGATCAATCTTTATAAAGCCAGATTGTATAAACTGCTGTACTGTATGCAAACCCTGCGTGCAGCACTTTGTCTTTGGTACAGGTTCAATTATATTTAGCTGAAGCACCGAAAGATGCCTATTCAGCACAAACCCTAAATCGGCTCATGTAATGAATGTAAGGACATGTTCAAAACCATCTGTATAATACGTGCAGAAAGAGTATATGTGAAAGCCTGCACCTTTTTTTTTTCCATGAAAGTTTCCAGCAAGCATTCCTTTTTGTTTAGAAATGTCTCAACCTAATCAATGACCAAGTGAAGACAAAAAAATAAAAGCTACTTTGCACTCATTTGGGAAAACTGTGAATTGAAATCCAAAGTGAAATCAGTAATATGAGATGTTAAAATTAAAAAAAAACCCCAAACATTAGTAATTGAAAGAAACAGAAACATTTGCAATATTGGTACTTATAATGAAAAGCACATTTTTATTGTGTTAGAGAATTTTTCTAAGTATGTTTTTTTAAAAAATTAATAATCACTCAGGACTATAAATTTAATTGTATTGAAATTAATTAAGAAGTGAAGTACTTTTCAGTTTCCAAATGATTTTTAAGGCACTGTATAAACACATGAAACTATTGAGAACAAGTAAGAAGCATCATAATTAATAAAGTAAACCTTGAAAAGTAAAAGTCCATAGCAATACTTTGTCAGCTATATCTAATATTGGAAGGTAAATATCAAGTTTTGGGGAGAGGATGTTGCCTCTTTTTGTGACTGATGAGGAATAATCATGCTTCCTCTTCTTTTCCCCTGGGGCCAGACAAATGGAAAAGATGTGACCTGGCCTTCATTTTCTCTTTTGTAAAACTGGCATTATTGTGGGTATGTATACTTTTTTGCTCTACTTGAAATAATTGTACTTCATGCAAACACAGCAAATTGACAGACAGAAACCTGGGAGTAAATTCCAAGAGTAAGAATTCATTTTGAAACCTTATTTTGTGCTACTATACTTTCATTTATTAATCAACATCATAATATTTTTTATCACAACAAAGTAATTAAGGTTGCAAACATGGGGATATTCTGTGCATAGTTCATAAGTCAGTGGAAAAAATAGTAATTTTATAAAATACAATGTGGTGTATGTTTATCCTATACACTATATATGGGGATTTTAGGTACTATCAATTAGTATTTCCTGATTTTTTCACTAAGGACTAGGAGAACCTAAACAAACCTTCAGGATGCAAGTGTACTCAAACATGCACATACATGTGTACACTAAAAAACCTGCAAGATTCATATGCCTTGTTATCAATCAGCAAAAAAAATCTCTAAAAAGTAGCTTCGACCCACTACTGAAAGGAAATATTCACATTGCTGTTCAAATCTGATAACATTTGAAGTAACTGGTTACTAAAGTATTTAATACAAATGTTTAAGTGCAATCCTTGGGAGATGTAAGCACATGCTGAGGGTGAGATGTTGTTCTTCTATACACAGAATATATTGCATCAGGTAGATATATTTCAAAAGAAAAGAAGCTGTATTTAAAGAATTCAAGCAGTCTTAGTGAGCCTTCCCATTTGTTCTGTTTATCAAGTAAAAGGCATTTCTCCCCACATCCAAATGGAAAAAAATATATATTTTTGAACTCAAAATTGTGGAAAAACTACTTTTGGTCAATGAAACTTGGGCCTTTGAACCGCATTGTGTTAAAAGAATGAAACTGCAAACCCCCTGACATATTGGTCTATTTATCTTTCTGTTTGTGAAATATCTTATGCTCTCCATGTCCAGTGTGTCAAACACAACCTGTTTAAAACAGATTTGTAAAGCACATTTGGAGGAAACATTAAGGTATTTCCTAACTTCTACTGAACAAGAAAAAACAGCTAAATATACTTTAAAATTTTACTAATTGCTGAATGGGAAAACAGTAAGCTCATAACTTATTGTGCAATCACTGTGTCTCACAAATCTGTCTGGCCAAGAAGCTGGAAGAATTCATTACCTTGTGAAGTATCTTTAAAATCCAAACACACCTTTCTTTTTATCTGAGGGAGGATGGACACTCATGAAATTTAAAATCAAATGAAAATATAACGAGACTTTTAGTCTTTTGTCCTCAATAGATTAGGTAATTTCTCATATTTTGTAATCTGTAATTTACTGAAAAAACAGATGTTGGCAAAATGCAATCATCCTATGCATTTGATATTTGCTCATATTTAACTGAATTAAGATACTTTCAGTGGGAACCTAAAGAGACCTAGAAAGGCTCAGTAATCAGGCCTGTGTGTGTGCCTGAAATAAGCTACATAGTGAGGTCTATCACCCCAGACTAGTACCACTATTAAGAAGAGTCCTGGTTTTCTGATCCCCACTAGTTTTCTGACTCTGCCAGCCCTTTATTCCCCCAAACCCATATTGTCCCACCAAAACGAAGCTCTATCCCACACAAGTCATTAAAGTGGTCAGAATCATTAATTTATAATTCAATATTATGCAAATATAATATAATTTAATTTATGTATTGATTTATTATTAATAATTTATAAATTATTAATATTATTAAGAAAGAGTATTATGTGTGTCAGTCTTTCCTGATAGAAGCATTATCTATACCCTTCATAGAGCAACATTTGAAATCTACAGCTGCCATATGAAGATTAATAACAGCAATACATCCATGGCACAATAAGAGTGTATCACTATTTGGTTCTGTGTAATTCTTCATAATGAAAATACAATATAAATAGTTCAGAAGAGTAACTTTAATCTATTTAGGAAAAGATACATTAGCAAATACTATATTTTTTTAAAAAAATCTCATCCTACAATGGTGGTGTTTAATCTGATGATTTTTCTTTTAAAAGAGATAACTTCAATTTGTTCTTTACCTCTTTCTGAAGACAGATGCATTCAAAATGACTGGAAAACTAATTGGTTTGGAATTTTAGCAATAAATGTGAAGGGGAAGAAAAGTGAAGATTCTTTTCAATTAATGAGTTAATCATTATCTCACTGGGGTTTGGAGAACTAATGTGTTACATATACATTGTTACATATACAATATGTTTTGTATTAAAAAAATTTGAGACAAATAAAGAAAGAAAAATCTATGTTAACTGTAGCCCATTCAAGTTTGAAAATAATACCCTTAGCTGCTGAGTAAATCTGGTATAATGTTTCTCCTAATTCTTCTGGAAGACCCTCAGGTATTCGTCCTAGAAAACACGCACATCAGATCCGGTATATCGGGACCTCGCTGGCCTCACCAACTGTCTTGGGTAGCTCCATGTAAGTTCACAGATTCATATAGTATCTTTCTCATCCAAAATACCTAGTTGTGTGTGCCTCCATGATTATTCTTATTGACATTAGAGAAAGTCCTTTGGAGGACCAGCTGTCCTTGGCTGGTACAATTCACAGGCTTGCTAGCAGGTGGCGTTAGGAGCAGGGAATGCTAAGGGGACCAAAACCCAGCAAGTGTAAATACCAGTTCTGCTGTTCACTTGAGTAGCAGCAGGACTGGACTTGCTGTTTTTATGGCTTTCCTCCTCTGCTACCTGGCCTTGGATGCTCAAGCTCATTTCAAAGCTCAAGTTCTACCTTTCTACATTATAATGTGCATTCCTGACTGACTGCAAGGGGACTGCCTCATAATTCACTTGCATTTTATTTCTAACCTTTTTGTTTAGAAAATTTGCAGATCTCTAAAATTGTTTCCAAATACTGGTATGCCACTATCTAGGTCTTAAGTGATCAGCTAATGTTTAAAAAAGTTTTTCATAACCCATCAGTTATTGGGGAGTGCAAAGTACATCATTTCAGTGGCCTTTTTCAACAGTTCCTTCTTGCTGAGAAAGAAACAGGGTTTAGTACTCCAGTTTCAAAGGGTGAAAGCAGACACACTGGTACTATGTATGTATCTATTCATAATTTGAATAGTATTTAAAAATGGTATAATTCTTAAGTTTACATACTAGGAAGCTAAGAAAGGGCAGGATTAGAACTGCTACCAGAGATGGTATTTTGCAATCACACACCTTTTCTTCAGTTTTGTATTACAAAGCATCTTAAAAATTTTAGATGATAGCATCTTTTTTTTTTTTTTTAATTTTCTTTTCTTTTACAGTGTACTGGACACCTGAGAAAAACAGATCAGTACAATGAAAACAGTTGTTTTTGTGGGATTTGGGCCTTGTTTGCTTTTAGATGTTGGATTGTGTGTAGGAAATTTTGACAATGAGTCTTTTTTGGCATACATATTTTTATTAATTCAATATTTAACTATGCTAATTTGTATGAACAAAAAACCCCAAGCAAACATCAGAAAATTCCATTACTGCACTTACTCACTTCTCTATTCCTGTGTCAAATATATAGATGCAAATGCTGATACCTACTTCTTACACCTCTGCTTGGATCAGATAAGTTTTTGCAAAGATTCCTTTTCCAGTCGTGTGCCAATCTTATAGGCTAGAAAAAAAGATTAATTCTCTCAGTTTTTCCTGGTCATCTAATAAATAAGCAGAGTCTTTCTTGCTTCTTCTAAATTAATGCCATGACGGAGATAATATTGTTTAGAGTTAGGGGGCAGAGAGTAAGAGATATTTTCTACTTTCTAGTAAAGGTCTGTACAGCACTTCAGCCAAAATCCTGAGGAATGGATTTTGGTAAGACTTTCTTCTAGGTAAGAGGAAGCCAACAGATAACTAATGAGTACTGTACATGTAACACAACTCGCCCTCAAATGGGATCAAAATTCTTGTAGGAATTATGGTGATACCAGCTGTTTATAACTTTATTTGCTGTAATCATAAACAGGAAGTAGTTTACATTATCTCAGCAAAGTCGTTAATTTCACAGTGGATTGGATACAGGCTCTCTCCTCCCCTTTGATTTAAGCAGTACATTTCAAAACTACTTACATTAACATCTGATACTTCATGTCTTGAAGTGATGTTCAACCACAACAGTTTGAGTTATTAAAATGAAACGATGAACATCTTTTTGGAAGAATGCATACATTCTGGAAGGCTTCTTGTGTCATGCACACCTGCATGGGCAACCTAAGCTGAATTTATCCTGCAACCAGAGAATGCCTTGCAGCTTCACAAAATTGCTCATTAATGAGACTAGATCAAAGTCAAAGCAAGGATCATGAACCACCAACTTGCCTTGCAGCCAATTTGCATTCTTCCTTCCCTCTTCATTTATCTCCCTTCTTTTGCTTTCCAGCCTCCAGGCATTATATGAACATTAGGGGAAAGCATGTGCTCTCTTTTTTATGTGTACACAGCAAAAGATACATAAATACATTAACTGTGTTATAACTCCCCACTCCTCTCTACACTTTCAGTGCTTTGTATAAAACATTTTATGATAATTATAGCTTTTAACTTTTCTCAACAATGACGTTTTATTGTCTGGACTGCACTTCTTTAGCAAAAAAACAGTAAAATTCTAGATGAATAGGAACAGACAGATGATTAAGGTATTAAAAGCCCATTAACAAATCTTAATGGCCTCAAACTATTAATAGCCAAAATCTCTGGCTTTGATAAGGGTAAAAGTAAATTTCCAGGTTTCCCGAGAGAAAATAGCAGTGAGCAATTCTGTTGTACTTTCAACTAAAATAGCAGGACACTGCAAATGAAGGACTGCAACTTGTTACCATCATTCCATTTTTCAGCCCTTTTCTGGGTAAAGAAAGTAAAAGCTGAATAAGAAACTCAAAACTTCTACCCTGTAACAGCATCAGACCATGGACTTGTTCTAAGGTTACAAAGTCAGCAAAGTTAATAATGCTTCACAAGCAGCAACAGCTCTTAGTTCTGTTAGCAAAATACCCTCAAGTACACAGCGGAAGAGAACATGCTCAGGAGCTAGTCACGGTTTAGAAGGAAAAAGAGATGTTGTTAGGAATGGTACAGTAAACTCAGCTGTGTTGCTCTTTTCACCCATGTGTATAATTTTTCAGATCTCTTTTTGTTCCCAAACACTCAAAATGTTTTTTCTCTAAAACAGACAACATGCAACCCTTCTGCTAGGAGCATTACACTTACAAGCATTACACTATACTCATAAAGTTGAATGTGCGTGTGAAGAACTGGTAAGAAAAAAGCCAGTTTCAGTTGTAAGATACTAAGGACTATTATAAATAATTGTAGGACAAAAATTTTTGAAGTAAAATTCCTCTGCATAAGAAAAAAATCACTATTCACTAATTAGCTGTTTAATACTGTCAGCTGAGAGGCCAAGGAAATGAAGAGAACTATCCTCTCAAACCAGGTGCTACCTCCAGGGCACGACAGAAACATGTTGGCAGAAGAGTGAGGAAACTTGTCCTAGTGCTCCTGGGCTATGCCTAGGGATGTATTTTTTTCATGTGCAATAAATTTACTAAAAATGGCATAAGAAGAAAAAAATGATGAAACATCTTGACAGTTTCTTTTAAAGTTCGTCAAAGATTTATTAAATTATTGGAAGTGCAGCAAGCCTGTCAAGGTGTGGATGGCTGTGTGCCTGAAAATCTTTATATGCTGTCCATTACAGCTAATCCAGCCCCAGGCTGGATTAATTTGTATGATGTTAAAAAACCCTTCCAGCTACCCAAATGTGTCAAAGTAGGCTAGAGCACACAGAATGCTTGAGAATACAGTCATCACCACTGCATTGAGTAATACAACCAGATGTCCACTCTCTTAATCCTGTACAAGTTTTTTCTGCAATATCAAGGCTAAATGCTGGCCTTCTCTGCAGACACAGAGGAAGACAATTTAAAGGGTTAAACTGATGGTGGAGAAACTTCCCCAGATTTGGTGCGGAGTAAAGAGCAACCTAGGACCTGTACACCCATAACTGTTGACAGGTGAGATAGAAAAGACTTCCCCTTGTTTCAACGATAAAGAGTGACATGTTATTTATGTCCAAAACAGGGTAAATTTATTAGTCACTCTTACATTTAAGGCTATTGCTCAATTTTCTCTTCAGATCCCAAAGACTATCAAGAGATGCATTACTTTTGACAACAGTAATGTACCAGAATAACATGCCCTATTAAAATACTTGCCTAAGTATCTTAAAAGTGCCATAAGCAAGAAAATTTGGGAGGTTTGGGTTTTTAAATTATCTTTATAAGTCTATGGAGTTGTATCATGAACTTGAAATATAGAAGATAATGTTGGCAGTAACAAACAACATATTTCACCTGACAGGTAGGAATGCACATTGGAAAGGGGTGAATTCACCTAACATAACAAATACATGTTAATATTTTAAGTAGGATAAACTAAGATTCTGATTTTCTTGTGCGTGTGTCTCAGAGTTTGGGACCGTAAGTGAAAAACAGCAACAATTTAAGAGTCATTCTACTACTAATAATAGAATTTTCAGAGTATTGTGTATGTTTCAGGAAATAAAATAGGCTTGCTAAACTATTTTCCTTCTTCCTGATTACTGGTAGGCCTATTGTCATTGTAGTAGCCCATCCCAATCTGACCACATTTATAATTAAAATTAGATGCACAACTCCGTATATTCCTTTGATTCGCTTCTACACCAGTGAATTACTTCATAGCTGAAGGGGAACATGCTGCAACCCTGCACTGCTTGAACTAATGGCAATTTAGAAGGATGAGTATTTTCCCCAACCCTTAAATATTCTGAATGACCAAGGTGTTCATGTAAGTATAACTCATTGGTTGAAAATTGTACTTTAGCCACAAGGCCATACTTTTCATGTCCTGGGTCTATGACACATCTTAATGAGGAAGACACAAAATGTGATATATTTGTGACAGTTCATCTTCAAAGGTAGAGTTATGCAGAGATTTGATCCTCATCAGTAGCTAAGCCCCCATCCAGACACCCATTCATGCACTCACAGAAAGCTGGGGGAAAGAATCAGAAGGGTAAAGGCAAGAGAAACTCATTGATCAAGATAAAGTTGAATATATGAAGGAAAAACAAAACAAAACAAAAACTACCACAACAATCATTTACCAACTTACAGCACCAGATTACTCCCCACCTCATTTTTTATTGAGGAGCATAACATCACAAGGTACAGGTGTCTCTTTGATTGGGTCAATCACTGGTTCAGCCACAAATTTGAAACACAGCACCATGCAAGCTGCTCCTTTCCCAGCGGAATCAGTACAGAGTACCAGCAAAGGTTTCCTATTATGGATTCCTAACAAACACTCATTGCCTGATCCAAAAGAAGGACTCACAGTGTTAAGTGCTAGAGGTACTTTGCAATAAATTGGGGATAAAGAACCTCATCGTCTGCA